CTTTATGACAAGGGCATCCCTATTGTCAAGGCATCAGTTAGCAATACTAATGAAAGGCTTGCTATCTATAACCTTGAGGACATTGCTTGTCCACTAAATGATACTAACTTTACTACTACTACCACTAATGTTACTAACAAACATGGTTAGTAGTAATATTACTTGCATTTTTGCCATTATGATGTTATCCTCAGCACTGTTACTTATGCTAAGCCAAATTTATGATGGAAAGCCAAGAAAGTGGAAAATTTAAGAACTGCTAGTGTCATCAAAAACTGCTTTAAAATTCTAATGATTAATAGCACTTTCAAGTCAGGAAGGCCAAAAGAAGATTCTATAGACCACCAAGTTACATTTAGAAGTGGGAACTGTTCTGAAACTACTAATGAAGAAAGTAGTATTACTCCTAGTTTGTCAGAAGAACTCCAGGAAGAATTTGTTGACAACATGGTTGTGGTGATATATGATCCAGATCAGATTCAGTAAAAAGACAGATTCAATAAGCTACAAATTGTCACTTCACCAGTTGTCACAGATCATGTTTCCCACTATAAGTGTGGGAAAACACTTCTGAAAACATGTAATTGGGAAAAAATGCACACAATGACAACCCTGTTGCTCACCAAGCAAAATGCAGCTACAGGAAAGCACCCCATACCAAAGTCTTAGAAGTGTAATTTGACTTCTCAACTCAGGTTCAGAAGACCCTGTTTCATCTGGAGATGAGAGATATAATTGCTGACAAAATATCAGAAATGTTTTGTATCAAATTCTACATAAAAGTTTTGATGCTGCCACCCAACAAGAGTCAAATGGTACAGAAGAAGGTATGAAAAACTTTACATTTGTTACTGGAAGCTTGGACAATATCAGACTCTATGTGAAGTTTAATTTTCAAAATGAAAAGGAGATGAAGAAATTGCATTCAGCAAGATTGTTGCTGCTTTTATTCAAGACTTCATGAAAAATGTGCACAGTCACCTCATCCATAAAGATCAAGAAGAGACTCCAGAGGAAGATTGATTGGTTCTTGTTATTGTAGCAACAAATGGAAGACCTTTAGTAATAAGAAATGACAAAAAAGATATTGAAAGATCTAAAGAAGCAAACAGAATCAGGTGTACAATCAAGTCTATGAAGAAACAAAGAAATGGGTACTACTACTACTGGTGGGGTTGTGAAATTGTCAACATTGATAGATATTTTGTTTGACGTGTGGATGCTGCTGACAAGCAACAAGATTCAATGCATACTTCTAGATGTAGTGGTCCTCAAAGAAGAAGGCTAAAAAATATAATTACACTCACTTCACAGAGCTCTACTAGTACTAGTACAGCACAGCAGGCTAAATTTTGATATCCTCCTCAAGAGGAACATGAATAAAAAATTACACATCAAACAATGGTGAAATACTAGTAGAACTAGTAATACTAGTATAGGACACAGTAATGTCTCCTCAATTTCCAATTAATCATAGTAATGATGCATCATGCTAACACAAGAACAACTGTTCACAACAAATCATACTACTAGTAGGGAAGATAATTTGAAAACATCTTGGTTTCAACCTGGTCTTGCACAAGAAGAAGCAATCATTGGATTGATGCCTTTCCCCAACAGTTAGCTGGTAGAATTTCCACCAGCAGTAGACAGTGCTGGTCTGATTATGAAGCAGAACAACAACAAGAACACCTGTCTTTGTTGCTCTCCCCCTGGTGGTGGTGCTCCTCTTCACTGCCCAAGAACAACAACAAGAACTCTGCCAACAATGTTCAGCATACCAGACACCAGAGGATAAATGAGTTCCATTGCAATTCCTGTTTTAGAAACAACAAACAGCCACAGTTGTTTTGCTCATTCACTTTTAAATTAAATTCTTTTCAATTTTTCCACATACACTCAGTTTTTGCACTGCTGGAGTAAGTGCCTGTTTTAACCAACCAATTAGGGCTGGGGATAAAATTCGTAGAAGTAACTCACAAATCACACCACAACCACTAACATTTTCGTTTTTCGAGTTTCGGGTCAAAATTTTATTTTAGATTTTGAGGATATCGCACCTTTTTAAAGTACGATACTGTACTGTGCCTTACAGACGGGAAGTAACTTGTACCGCGTACGTACCAGTGCCGCTACTGTTACCTCTTTTGACGACCGCAACCGGTATCCTACCGTACGGTAGGGTCGGAGCTACAGTTCATCTTTGGTATTCTTGACCTYTATGTACTAGTGGAATGGGATGTTCCCATTATTTTGCTTTCATTTTCATCCGAAACCACTTCTAATGCACTTGCGGAGATTAGATTGCCAATCTAAATCACGATGCCACCTCCTTCAYCCAATAAATCTTTGAACCTGGTGGGATGCTTCCTTGCTGGTGTTACTTCGGCGGTTGTAGCCCGGTGGCTCTTCGACCGATGTCGGAAAAGTTCTGTATCAGCATCTATTGCTTCTGGTGACAGGAAAAAATCTTCATCGTCACCATCTRCGYCCGMAGTGCCCGAAGATTTGCGACAAGAACAGTTGTCACGACACGCCCTATACTTTGGAAACAAAAACATGGATTTGATCCGATCTTCTAATGTTTGTGTCGTCGGTTTAGGTGGGGTAGGTTCTCACTGTGCTTTAATGTTGGCTCGAGGTGGAGTCGAGCGGATTCGACTGATTGACTTTGACCAGGTCACGCTTTCCAGTTTGAATCGACACGCATGCGCAACGCTTAAAGATGTCGGTACTTCCAAAGTCGAATGCGTCAAAAAGACATGCTTAGAACTTGGTTTGGCCCCTGAACAAATCGATGCCCGTGTCGAAATGTATACGAAGGAAACGGGACCAGATCTTTTGAATTTGGCGTCAATGCCTGCAAAAAAYGGTGAAAAAGTCGATGGCAATAAAAAATGGGACATAGTCGTCGATTGTATTGACGATGTTCCCACGAAAGCKGCACTATTGACATATTGCATTCGAAACAAAATACGAGTATTATCCTGTATGGGTGCCGGTGGAAAGAGCGATATGACACGCTTGCATATTTCTGATTTGCGTACCTCGGCGAAAGATCCTCTAGCTAGTAAACTACGACAGACAATAAAAAAGACTATGAAAAAATTCGACGCGGAAGAAAGAGAAAAGGAAAACGTTGACAGTGACAACAACGACGAGAAAAGCAGCGTCGACGAGTCGTACCTCGACGACATGGATCAGCTTACAATTATATTCAGTTCTGAGAARACTGTTGCCAAGCTCGCTGATCTGACGGARGAACAAAAGATAGAAGGTGATAAATCACAATTCGGTGCGGTCGATGGAATGAGAATACGAGTACTTCCCGTTCTAGGACCTATGCCAGCCATCATGGGACAGGTAAATYGAATATCTTTGTTGTTCTACTTGGCACTCCAATGGTWTGTGAATCGCACTCCCCTGTCCTCTCACTAACTTTACCTGACTCTTTAGTCTCTGGCAGCCATAACGCTGTGCGAATTAGGCAATAAAAAGATACAGAACCCAGTCACAGGCGAAAGAATCGGGAGAAACATCCGACACAAGATATTTCAGCAGTATTGCAGTCGAGAAAAAAAGATTGCGAGTGGCGAGTTGAAAATCGCTCAGGATGACATCTACACGGGGCCAATAGAAATTGATAGCGACGATGTTGAATACCTCTACGGAGTCTGGAGAAATCGATGCGGTGTGACCGGGCAAAAAATAGGTGCCGTCCTTGGTCTGGCTCGTTGGGACTATTCCAAGCCATCAACGGCGGACAATCTCGTCTTGATGAGCAGGCCCGCCCTACAGCGATATGACGAGAAGGGTAGAGATTCTATAGATTCGAAGATACAAGTACGCATCGAAGACCGCTTGGCGGCAGCCCGTGACTTAAATCGTGACATGTAATTTTTTAACAGTCAAAAASGATAGCTCSSCTGCTCTGACCATGTTGGCTGCGAAGATAAAAAATTCCATCACGGATCAACTAAGGTGTCGTTATGTGATATTATAAAATGAATTGACACATCTATTGTCAAATACGATATAGTTAGAAAGCGATAAGGTCTATATCTCTGATTGCTCCCCCTCGACAAGCGTTCATTGGAGACCACCAAACGTTCTGTCTTGTTCATTCGAATCCTGTCTCGTTGCGATTCGAACTCCGAAAAATCGATGTTCAGGTTGCCATTCTCCTACTTTCCTTCCTYTTCTTGTGTCGCTTATGTTCTCTCTTTCGTTTGTGCCGTCGCTTTTCGTCCCTATCATGTCTCCGCCGCCTTCGTTTCTTGTGTCGTCGAGACGAATCCCCATCTTCATCACCGTCCTGAATGTTGTATTTCGGGCCGTCAAAATCCGTGGCTGTCGATTTTGATGAGTTATCTTTTTCCCCTACCRCTCTTTCGCGGATATCCGCTCCGTTTGGAAWTTGYGAATTCGTATCTTTCTTGGACGAAATAGAAGCGCGSGATTCCGACGACGATGACGACGACGAGTGCGACGATGCCGAGTAAGATGACAACGAATCCAACGATGATGACGACGAGCACGACGACAAGTCATCCCTGGCGTATCGACGGCRCGATCTCTTCTTTTTTTTGTATTTCTTTTCTCGTTTGCGTCGTTTTCTGTGCTTTTTTCTTTCTTTGCGGTCATAGCGGCGGTAGCGATCTTTTCGTTTCAGATTTTTCTTGCTGCGGTYATGGTCGTCGTCGTTTTGGTCGTTCTGAATGCTGTCATGCAACATCGACGAGTCTCCTGCGACCTCTTCCTCGTCATCGGCGGGATCTTGACCCATCTGTTGCAGGGGTCGGTCGGCGAACAGATTTCGTTCCATTAATGCATTCTGGTATGCTGACGATTCTCTCGCGGTCAGATTATTCTTGTCTTTGCGATTGTTGTTGAGTAGCAGGAGATGTCTTGAATGCGATATATTGGACTTGTCTACTTTTYCCAGTAGTGATCGCCGACGTTTCTCTTGTAATATTACAAGGTGTTGGMGTGCTTCCACATTATCCTCATCCACACGCAGTGCAGTTCTCAGAAAGCCCTCGGCCTTGGAGAACTTTCCGATTTTGATGAAAAGTTTCCCGCTGCTGATCAGAGAGCCCAGATGATCAGGGACGAGATCCAGAGCTTGGGCAAGCAAAGTCTTTGCCTTGTTGTTGATACTCTCGCCTTTTGAYGATTGCAGTAAATTGTTTGCTTCCCGACATTTTTCTTCAGCAAATTCAATATTTTGTTGCCTTCGCAGATCCAGGAAAGAGGGGAGTTGTTGTTGTGTTGCACTAAGCGACGTTGCGTTTTCTCGAGATTTGGCCTCGTCGTCTTGCCGTATTCTCCACGGAAGGTATGAAAGAGAAATTTCGATGCCATCAGGTGATAATTCAAACGGTACTTCCAATTTTGGCCGTGGGCAACACAAACGATAGGATAGCTCGGCTCGATGGTTTTCATTTCGCCCCTCCATTGCATTGTTGGTTACCGTACTTGATGTTTTTTGCCACTGGACGCGCAAAGAGCATTGTTCTCATCAAAATGCACTCTTCTCATAAAAATTCACCAGTCAACGCACAAAACGCATTGCACCGTTCATGAAATGTCACTCGATGAAATTCGGTTGTTTGCTACCAACGGGTTTTGCSCATTTGACTTGGAAACTGGGCAGAATCGTAAACAATCATTTCCGTCGTCCAACGACATGACATGCTGTACGGTATCGTACTTTACGGAACGTGATGGGTTGGCACTTGTTGTGGCCGGATAGTTGTTGACGTATATTCTTCACAAGACTGAGATGACATTCATTCACGAATAAATTTCTATTCTTGTGTTAACTTTTAGTTGCGAGTTGCGAGTAACGGTACGAGTACCCGTACCATATGTACATACTCTACYATACCCTACTGAACCTGCCTGCCCTGCGTACGAGTACGTACAGTATTGTACGACCGTCCGTATGTAAAGATTTATGGCATAGAAGTTACTAGTATCGTAGTTGATTTTCGATTTTCACTACAAGTACTCGTACGTACCACACTMATGTAGATACATACGACAAGTCTTTTTCCGAACGGTACGTACGTACCAGTAGAGCACAATAGGAGTAGTAATCATATGTACCGTACCGCATGCGTCCGAGTTCTTGAATTGATTTACTGAATTACTGTGCGGTCGTACGTACAACTAGTACTCTATTTTGATGCAAAGAAAACCGACGACAAATTGAGGCGTTGTGTATTGAAACAGAACGTGAAAGGCAACGAAGTGGTGCCGTTCGAATAAACGGCTCTTCGCTTCTAGGATTCAACAATGTTGTTAGTTTCGTGGCAATGTACTTGATGATTTGATACGCGTCCCACATTATGTCATCCTTAGCCGCGACGCAGAGCGATGGGTATTACCTGCCTCCGGAATACTTCGATAGCGGTGCATATCGAAAACAATCCAGGAACCAATTTGCGGCGGGGGCATCRGCCGCGAATTCGAATTCTGGCAGCARATGTTTATCCAACAAGAAACAGAAGAAAAAGAGTGGACATAACCAGTGGTTAAAAAATGGAGTTGTCCGATTCGAATTGCCAGAAAAGGCGGTCTGTTTGGGTTGTCATCAGTCAGTGGGGAGAGGAACGAGATTCAATGCCAAAAAGATCACAACGGATCAGTGCTACTTTTCAACTAAGATCTACGAGTTTCAGCTGTCGTGTCGGAACTGTCAAAAGTACGTCGCGTGATATTGCGTTTCTGACTTTTCATCTTCTTTTGATCGAGAACGAAAGAATTATTGCAAACDAGAGACTTGTTGTTAAGCGTTTGACCTGTGCGGACCTGAACTCATAATTAACAACATATTCGGTGGCCTGTATTTTAATTTAACAATTATATTGTAGGCCATGGGTCATTCGCACCAATCCAAAAGACCGCGGTTTTGACTATGTCTCTGGTGTCAAAAGACAAGCGGGTCAGGAGAGAAACCTRGTCRCTGGCTCATCAACAAGTCTCGGCAATGGAAACGACAACGGCACTTACGATCGTAGATCAATCGATCAGCTAGAAAGGGCCGCGGTGACAAGGATGGAGAAGGCCAGAGAAATGACCGAGATTGAACAATTGGAACAAATCCGAAAGCTAAACGAGGTTGTATCTGCATCGGTGAACGATGCAGATACGAATGCTTCTATTCGAAAATCCTTTCGGAAAGATCGAACCGAAAAACGAAGCAGATTGAGAGAGGCAACGGACAAGGGRTGGAGAAACGGGATGGTGGTACTGCCTACTAACGATGACGATATTCTCGCAGCCAACGAAACGTGTTATGGGCGACCAGCGGAAGATGAGAAACGAAACCTTTCTGCTGTGCGAAAGTCCTCTATATTCTCTTCTCAAAGAGSGGCGAAGAGGAAGAAGAAGAGCCGTCGAATGCGATCGCGACCGTCTGATCATCGTGCAGAAGTCACTAGTGGTAGGATTGTTACTGCAAGTCCTGTCCGATCTGATAATTTTTCCATCTCAAACAGGAACGACACCACCAATTTAGGAGTTGTACTGCCAGGAAAAACAGAAACAACAGAGCCAATCGCCACAAAGCACACGCCAGCTCATCCTTGTTCACCTTCATTCTTGGTGACCGATGGGACAATACAAAATGCGGCAAAGAAAAAAAGAAAGAAAACTCTACAACTGCAACGAGGAGAAAGAGGTCTCTCGGTTATCGAAAAGGAGAAAGAAACGGAGGCCAAAACAGAATTYGACACAGGTGGTGGCATCAGCGATAAGAACTGTTTGGAGAATTCGCCATCTTCAAGAGGGAAATCTGCGGGGCCTACATCGTCCTTTTCTGAAATGATGGCTGCATACGACTCAGACACAGACAGCTATTAGCTWTTTATAACAATAACAAAAGTGTTGTAAGCAATACATTTTCTCCTCCAATTGTCGATGGGTCCCAAGGCGGATGTCCTAGTATAGATCGGAGTACAATTCTCTACAGGCACAATTCAATATGTCTACGACTGTTCTTGTCATCGTTTTACGTAGACTTTGAATGGTCGTGCTCAGATCCTGACTCTACAGTATTACATTCTTCCGGTTAAACACAGACTATTACTATCACAATACGTTGTTCTCCTTCCCCTGGCATGATAACCTTTCATTTACAAATGATCTTCGCGACGGATCAAATAGACGTTATGAAGCCATTCAATCCTGATAATCTAGCTGGCAGAACAGCAAACAGATTCTGTTTGCTTGGCAAGTTGAAAAAATGAACACATTTTCCACATCGTTATTAACTTGCTTCACGGATCCGTATGTTGATGCAAACTCGCACAAAAAGAGCATTCACTTAGCTCTCCTGATACACCGGGAGAGTAAATGATTGTTCAAGATTTAGATATACATTTCAAGTAAAGACAGAGAGATCGTGATTGATTACATAWGAGTGATTGGTTTGGTATCATCAATGCTCGGAATAAGATTAGSAGTGTACGTACCATCATTGWCTTGAATTCTTCGTAGCTAATTTCTCCGTCTCCGTTAGCGTCAACTTGCTCCATCATGGCGTCAACTTCGGCTTCGGTAAGAGCTTGCCCGAGTTTCTTCATGAGTCTCTTCAACTCCTTTCGATCGATCGATCCGTTTCCATCGGTATCGAAGACGGCAAATGCATCTCTCATTTCCTTTTCGGGATCGTCAACAATACAGCGGGATTTCATCAACACCAAAAATTCTTCGAAGTCAATTTCGTGGTCATCATTCTCATCGACAGTGCTGATCATTTCCTTCAACTCTTCTTCAGTTGGGTTCTGACCAAGCTTGCGCATGACCTGTCTGATTTCGGTGAGTTCGATGGTTCCTTTAGCAAAAGAACGGCAAGGGCAAACGACRAAGTCGTATCACGTCATTCGTGTGTTAGCAGTTGTATCAAATCGGTAGATCAATCACCATCATAGACAACCGCTGTATCAAATCATGCCATGTCAACCACTTCCTCATAGGCAGCTGAGAACATCGAGTAACAAGATGGCATCGTTCGGATTACGCCACATGTCKATTTGAATCGATTAGGTCCTGTCTTYRCCGGGTCATTTCGTTATTTATCTAACACCGCTGAAACTTACCATCGCCGTTGATGTCGAACATGGCAAATGCCTCCTTCAGGTCGGCAACTTCCTCTTCTGTCAATTCTTTAGTGTCAGGCATCTTCGTTGTTTGGTATTATCTTTGTCAATATGGAGTATTGTCTTTTTTTAGCGGTTCTGCTGAAGAGTAAAGGAGAGTACGAGAGAGCTTGAAAGATTCCTGTGCACGGATTAGATAAAACTGCACGCTTTTTCACCGTTGAGCGATGACTTCYCCAACGAACAGTCCTAACGTAACGCTGACAGAATTACTACGTGAGTAGAAACGGGTACTACCACCTGTTAAAAATTCGGAACGACATTTTTAATTTTTTTCCTCTCTGGGAAGACTTTGTTCGTTGGGATCTCATACTACTAAACTCAAAACTTGAAAACAAACGCTATCAACTTATAAGCTCATTTTAAGAAATGACCATTAAACTATGTCTATTAAAGACTTCCGTTTAAAAAAACCGAATCTCTACGTACTAGACTTAAGGAAGTCTCTACGTACTAGACTTATGGAAAGTGCGTACAGAATTCGATTTGACTTGTTTCGAGCTTGGCTACTCGTAACGTTCCGTTCGTACCAGTACTGTAGATACGTTCTCGTACTTTGTCCAGTGACGGACACTGAAAGAGGTCAACAGAACCATTTAAGAGTTCTTACTGTACCGGGTATAGTGAGGCTGGATACCGAGGTTTCATAGGTAATTACTGATAATTAAATTCTGTTCTCAGTGTGAGGATCGTGATTCCCGAATAGCTCGTGAATAACCTCATTAACTAAATAATCGAGTCCTGGAATTTGTTTTTTGCACAGTAAATTTTCAACGTTACGTAACAACCTCMGCACCTCTGAAATTCTCTCCCACGTCGGAAGGAAATACTGAAGTGACTGATTGAAGTTTCGAAACTGTGATCGAAAAACCATCGGTCACCCTTCATGATCCATCTCATTCATCGTCACCATTACTTTGCGCCCAATGCAAAACAACTCGCACAACCAGCTACCCGAGAATCACGAAAAGTTGTCGCGAATCCTGGCACCATGATTCCTACGACATCAACTTCTATCGATACCGCAACCCAGTGGGCCGCGATCGATCCGAATCCAACGACATCCAAATTCACCCGTGATCTSATTGCCGAAGCCTTATCTGGAAGAGAAGGTAGCGTCGATGCTTTGGAGTCTCTATTCCCCTCCAACGGTGAAAGAATCGGATTTGGTACCGCTGGTCTTCGCTCCGAAATGAAGCCCGGCCCATTAGGAATGAACGATCTGACTGTTTGCCAAACAGCTCAGGGACTAGCGAAGTATTGCCTAAAAMAAGGCCAACGCCAAGGAACTACAGCATCAAAGGAGAAATCATCTTCACGACTGTGTGCAGTTGTTGGTTACGACCACAGAAGCAATCCTTCCATGAATATTTCTTCCCTATCGTTTGCAATCCTGACGGCAATTGTCTTCGCCGAAGCCGGAATTGACTGCATTTTGCTCGACGGTTTTGTATTCACACCTCTGGTGCCCTTCGCACTCCAGCAATTMGGTGCGATTTGTGGAATCATGATAACAGCTTCTCACAATCCGAAAAAAGACAATGGCTACAAAGTTTATGCAAGCGACGGCTGTCAGATCCGYTCCCCGATGGACAAAGACATCGCCGACGAGATACTTGGCAATTTGCAACCATGGACAGATTATGGAACTATTATTCAACAAAGGCGGCAAAGTTATCCCGAGGACCCCTGTTTGGGGCTTGGTCATCCGCAGAGAACAAAAGAATTGATAGATGATTATTTTATTGGATTGGCAAGCAGTGGACTCAAGACTGGACAAGGTAGCATCAAACATGATGCTCGATCGTTAGTTCGCTCACCTGAGTTTGCCTATACGGCTATGCATGGCATTGGGCACCCCTTTGCAAAAAGAGCATTTGAAGTCTTTGATCTTRRGCCTTTCCACGCGGTTCCGGAGCAAATGAAACCCGATCCCTCCTTCCCAACAGGTGCGTTCAATATTATTCGTGGCAATTGTCTATGAATTGGCTTTCCGAGTTCTATKATTTCTTTTCACTAACGGATGCTTCGTTGATCACGATCACAATAGTTCCTTTTCCAAATCCGGAGGTAAGACGAAAATGATCGATACAAATGAATAAAGAGAAAATATTTTAATCACTTGGTTCTCGATCTCAACGAAATTCCAAACACTTCATGCATTTTTAATCATTGAAGGAAAAAGGGGCTTTGGATTTGGCCAAAAATTATGCTTCAGAAAACGGGTGCGACATCGTCCTTGCAAATGATCCTGATGCAGATCGATTAGCGGTAGCGGARAAAGATCGAGCAACTGGTGAGTGGACAGTTTTCTCGGGTGATCAGATCGGAGCCATGCTTGGTTTATGGTTATGGGAAACAATAGGAATGAAATCAAACAAGGTATGAAAATTGCACAGAGAATTTAAGGTTTGATTTTCTCCCTGTCGATGAATCTATGGACGCCTCATAGTTTTTCCCGTTTACAGCCTGTTGCGATGTGTGCGTCGACAGTTTCCTCAAAAATKTTAGCTGAAATYGGGAGACGAGAGGGATTTCATGTCGAAGAAACCCTAACCGGATTCAAGTGGATAGGGAGCCGAGCGGCTTCTCTACAAGCCGAGGGATATCGCAATATTTTTTGCTACGAAGAAGCAATTGGATTTGCATGGTAAGGGTGCTGTGGYTTTGTTCTTTTTAATCTTCAATTCGACTTCCGAAAATCATGATTATCATACGTATCTTATCTTAATCCTTTTGTAACAATATTGGAATGATAATATTAGCGGAGACACCAATTTTGACAAGGATGGTAAGATTCGTAAACTAGTGAAATTCYTTAGCTTGGAAGAGATCGAAATGAATTTGAGTCTGATTTTTAATTCACAACTTGTTTTCAATGAAACTTGTTTCCTTTCTTTCACACGCGTCTATGATTTTCACAACAAAAATGAATTCAATATTAGGCGTCTCTGCAATGGTGGTAATGAGTGAGTTGGCCTTGTATCTGTACCKCGAACAAGGAATTAGTTTGAAAGACCACATGTTAAATTTGTACGAGAAGTATGGCCACTTCGTATCCAAAAATGGATATTATTTCATGCACGACCAATCTACCGTGAAGGTRATCATGGAACGTCTCCGAAGCGGGGGAACCTACGAGGCACTGAAAGACATGGTTGCGCCATACGAGATTGAATCTTTCCGCGATCTTGGTGAGCCCGGATACGATTCTCTTCAAGCTGACAAAAGACCTAAACTACCGACGTCTACGACCGCTCCCATGATGACAATCCGTCTCACAAACGGATGTATCATTCAGCTACGACCCAGCGGAACAGAACCCAAATTTAAGTACTATACTGAAATGAAGGGTCAGCCAGGTGTGCCCAAAGAAAATGTCGAGGAAGAGCTTACGATGACGGTGAACACGCTTCTTGATCGCCTTCTGGAACCTGTGAAGAACGGTCTAATAAGAAAAGCTTAAACTGGAAGAAAACCTATGCGTAATAGTCGTGGAAAGTTCGAACCATCACAGCGAATTGRATATATTTTTCTAAAATRGCGTTGCCTGGGTGTACTTGGATCTAYCAGGARATCRGGCATTGAAGCATGCTCGCTTTCTTGTCAGTTTAATCTCATGACTTCAGTGCTTCCGACATCACATCTTCAATTAMAAAAAAAAGTAMCTAATAATAAACGAACACATGACTGCTTTTGGGGGTTAAGTTGTGCACTAATTATCTATGCAGGAACATTAAGCACACAACCCAGTGGTTTATGTGTTTTATGGCGGCAACACAAGCTTACGTAGATAGAATATATTTGCCAACAAACCATATAACACGGTCTATATAGTCTTTCGTGGGACGGATGGCAGAAGATTTATTTCGACATCATCATCTTGACRAATTCCTCGTAGTTGATTTGTCCATCTCCATCGATATCTGCCTCACGGATCATTTCATCAACTTCCTCATCGGTGAGCTTTTCCCCGAGGTTGGTCATGATGTGTCGGAGCTCGGCGGCGGAGATGAATCCATTTCCGTCCTTGTCGAAAACCTTGAAGGCTTCAAGGATTTCTTCCTCGCTATCAGTGTCCTTCATCTTGCGGGCCATCATGGTAAGGAATTCAGGGAAGTCAATGTTTCCACTGCCATCAGCATCAATCTCTTGGATCATGTCCATCAATTCAGCCTCGGTAGGGTTTTGTCCAAGGGATCGCATGACGGTTCCAAGCTCYTTGGTCGTGATGGTACCTGAATTTAATTGCAAAAAAGCGTGGGAACTACGGTGAGATCTGATTCGTGGATCTTGGTGGTTCGGATGACWAATATTTCATGTGACCAAAACGACAAGCCGTTTTGGGAACCAATGGACCAAATATCTTTATCATCGATCAGTATTGTCGCATTAATCTGCAAGATTGATTGKTCTGAATCGATCCAAACGAAACTTTTKYCGCTGTTGTCATCTAGCGGCACGTGCAAACAGCTACAATCCCGAAGACAAGTTGAAGCCAAATTTATTACATCAAAATGGCAGACATAACGAGAAACAACATGATACAYAGCACTCACCATCACCGTCCTTGTCGAAGAGGGAGAAGGCCTCCTTGAATTCAGCAATTTGTTCTTCGGTAAGTTGATCAGCCATTGTTGCGAATGAATTGAATGTATTTGTTTGTGTTTTCGAACAAGCGAATGTTGTGTTATGTCYACAATCGAGCGAGTGGTKGATAGATAYTGCTGTTGTATTTTCTCTCCGAACTCTGCGTAACTGTCATAACAACCATGAATGTCATCAATGACTTTGTGCCAGGGTAGGCCTGGCGTGCTGGCCTGCTTGTGAGATCCGATTTAAAAATAATTTTAAATCAATGAAAACACACGAAAAAGATCTTCCTCKTCGACGACTATGTGTACGTGGAAGCGCCAGCCAGCAATAATGAGCCTGGAGGATTAATATTGAGGGGAAATGACACATTAAAAGGGGATACAACACTATGATCGAAAGTAATTTTGTCTTCTGTCCCCTAAGTACAGAATTATGACTCCGAGGAGGGACATTGTTCCTCTGGAGTTCCCATTTTGTTGTGATTCCAAAAAAATAATATCCAAACCTGTGCAGCTCGCACAAGTAAGTACTGTATTGGAGTACTTGTACGTATGAACCACAGAAACGAAAGTTGTATTTTTATTTCAAATGTGCAAAATTGCGAAGCATCGAACCCSCACAGTTCGTACGTACCTTACTCGTACGTTCCATGGCAAATGACCTGAAAAACAGTTGAGAAGAAGTAGTACGTACCCCTATTCGTACTTCGAAAAACGAGCCTTACGTACCTACGGTACGGTACCTACCAGGTACGAACCTGTTCCGTACCGCAACGTCTAACTTTCGAGTTCAGGCATGGATACGACACACAAGGACCCAAGGTGTACCTTATATCATAATTATCATACCTACGTACTATACATCGATGCCGACGTCAACTGATTGGATGGTGTCATTCTGCCGAAAATTAAAAATTACGARCATGAAACGATGWTCATTCCTTCGTAGCTGYTGTTGTTGCATCYGTTAGCCATCGGAGTCCGGCTAATGGAACAACCAGTTRRGGCAATTGCATATTTCTATCTTTCCCATCTCAATGGCCGATTTCGSTTCCGAATATTTGACTCGCTCGACGATCCATTCATTTATGCATCCATGCATCCGCCCGTCCATAAAATGAGCGACTGCGAAGAACTAGCACGATTGAATTCGTCGAAAAGAAAGGACCGCAACGACATCGGTCCATCCGAGGAGACAATTTCTSGAAAAGCTCGCAACGAAACTTCGTYCTATGGAAATATTTTTGCGTCCATCACCGCTTTCTCCCCGTTGGTTCTTGCCACCAAGCTTTGTGTGTTTCCGTCTACGACGAGTGTTTCTTTCTGTGAAGAATCGTCTTCTCCGTCGGTAGCAGCACCACCACCGTTGCCAGAACGACTCCCGCACGKTGGAACCAAGGAAGGGGAATCACTTTCGTCTCTAACCGAGTACGAGCGAAGAAGGATGCTCCAACAGCTGGAGGAAGAACCTTGCTCGGCCTGCAAGTACACCGGAATGACGCTTTGTGCGGGGATGTCGTTGTACTTTCTCAAACTGGGGATCGAAGAAACGGCAGGGGCAACAACCATCGCCAAAGCAGCGAAGAACGCTGCCTCCACCGCTAGCAAGAGCAACAACAAATTMTTTTTCTATGGCGGTGCCGTGACATGGGCCATTGCGGGGYTGTACCGGTCCGTTCTGGATTAAAACCGGCATGCGGTACAACAGTTGCTGCCCGTGCCGCTGCTTCTTGCTCGAGCAATTGCATTCGTTCGCAAGAACAACCGGGKTGGTACGGCACGAGATAGTACTCGGACRATCCCACCGAATGCAATGTTGTTGATATTCGTGCGTCGATTGGAGSGAGGGAACGTTYTACYMGTACCGTAAAGGACAGAAGCATGACCATCGAGCGTCTATAACATTCCTAATACGGTGCRGCATGGTGCCAAAAAAAASGATTTCTCGTTCTTGTTCTTGTTCTTTGCAATRCAGGTGCACAGCCGAGCTCTGCCATGACGAAAAAGGAACGAACGACGAACGGTGACGAAAAATCASCAACCTWGTTACGAGTGTTCATCACTCTGCAAATTKTGCAWGGTATGAATGCTCRTGATTTACCAGAGGGGATCATGACCAWMGATTTGCAATCAATGGTCTTTTGCCATGGTTAATTTATAAATAGAAGTACTACGGTCMACCTTTTAATTTCATTGTTCCCTAGAATATTATGTATTAAATTACCTTGTTGGACGACCAACCTCACCAAATTGCACATTATTTTGTGTTTCCCAACTCCCACGATGGTCGGCATCAAACGCAAAAACAAAGGCACAGACACACACTAGAACCACCAACGCATCGGCACACCGACTCGACATGCAAACCCGTGGCAACCGAAAAACAATCCGACCGACCAGCAAGCAAGAAAGCAAGCAACCACCACTGCCCGCGACCCGTTCGGTTTGTTTTGCGCTTCCCCTTTCCACTTGCCCGCGAGAGGCACGGAATTCCATTCCTTTCCATTCCATTCCATTCCATTCCATTCCAATCGTTCGCAGATGGTCAAGCAGGATTCGCAAGAAAACCGGTCGCGTCCACGCCGGTACCAAGGTGGTTCGCTGCCCGTCTTTCCGTCTGCTTGCTTGCTTGCCTGCCCAACACAACCCATCCGCCGGTCGAGGAAGGCACAAGGGTCACCGATTCGAGCAACCAACCGCTTTCCTTGCGGATGCTTCCTTGCTTCTGTTTCTCTTTTGCCACCAAGGTCAAGGACCGGTCCGTGCATCGGCTTGCTCTCGTTTGTTTGGAAGCGGAGCGGAGACCGGTGTCGCCCGGTGCACACACCGTGCCCTATTTTTTTATGCCCGCCGCGGGAGCCGTTCCCGCACGGGCCGGATCGTGGCGCATCAGGTAGGAGGCCAGGTATTGGATCGGGTTGGCCGGGCGTTCCTTGACCAGCTCCGCCATTCCTGCCAACGAAAACAAAAGCGAAAACGAAACCAGGCGACACGAGACGAGACGAACGACAAAATGGGTGTGAGAGGGTGAGTGCGAGTGCGAGTGGGTGTCGGAGGGGATCGAGAACGCGAACGGACAAAACACGCACCGTCCAGCAGGATCGGAACCACCGTCTGGTCGAGGTAGGCCCGGATGGGCATCGATTGGAGCTCCTGGYGGGCGGCGGCCGCGGCAACGGGTGGCACCGGAGCCATGGAGGGTTGTTGTTGTTGCTGCTGCTGCTGCTGTTGCTGCTGCTGGACCTGGACCATGCCCTGGGTCATGGAAACGTTCATGGCCATGGGGGTCGGCTGGACCATCATGCTGGGAGGGGGCATGGCCATGGCCATGGCCTGCGGCGGCGCCTGCTGCTGCTGTGCCATGGGGTTCGAGAGCGAGGCCGTGGGGACGCCGGGGTTCATGGGCATGGGCTGGGGTGGTCCGTCGGAGGCCATGTTTGTTGCGCGATGGGTTTGTTCTGTTCTGTTCTGTTCTGTTCGGTGGTGGTGGTGGTGTTGCTGGTGTTGCTTTTCGTCGATGGGACTTGGGCTCGGAGTGCGGCGTGTGGGGGATGTCGAAGCACGGTACGGTATGTATGCAGCTCAGCGAGGAGCGGTGCGCAAACTTTGCGGAGGACGGGGATTGGCAGTCGTACGATGTTGTRCTACAGATGACGGTAGGACAAAACCGACCGGTAGGATAGGATATGTACCGTACGTACGGTATCGTAGTTTTTCATCGCAGGGACACAAAACAAAGCCAAACAAAACCCGCGCCTCATCTCGATTTCATTCGTCGAAACCGAGCCAGAGACTAYGGCATTTTTCATTGCTGTACTCTCACACCGTAGATCGTACGCATGGTAAGCTACGCTACGTTGCTTGCCGGATCGTATAGCGTAAGTAAGTAAGTACGGTACAGTACCGTACGTACCGGTAGGTCAAGTCGCTCGCAAAGCATGACGCAGCTTCGTCGCGCAATTCTCTGTCATTGTTTCGCGCCATAGTGTACCGTAAAGCTCCGGATCCATTTGTACGATYGGTACGATACCGCACGTACGGTRCGATTCGTTTCTACCGAGGTGTACTGTGTTCCAGTACTGTATTGCGCACTCACTCGTACGTACCGTACGTACCGTTGCTCCGGGGGTTTGGAACGAGACCCCGACCGTTTTTTGGTGCTCCGCAGTGTAACGATGCCCCACAAAATCACCCTGCGATTGCAAGCTCGRACGCGGACGGAAGAAGGACAACTCCGGGCCGGGAAAGGATGCCCACAGAGATCCCCCACCAACACAGTAACCGGCAGCACCACCAACTACTACTACTAGTACTACGACGACGACGACGAAGAAGATGACGATGACGAAGCGACGCTAGGACAGAGAGAACGCACGGACGCAAGAACGCACCACACACAACCGGCACGGCGGCAGGCCAGGCCAGACCGGGGCGGGGCGGGCACGGGTACCTCCCCRGCCATCGAAGAAATCCCCCGCCATGGCCGGCGGTGTTGCGGAGGCGGCGTCGAGGATCCGCGACCAGCTGGCGTCGTCCCCCCTGGCGCTGTCCCCCTCYCCCGACTGGATCGAGGAGTGCCTTTCCTCCCTCGACCGGCGAAACAGAACCCACGGCAGCGGAAACGGCCAAGAGGCCGACGCGGTCCTCTTCCGGATCCTCCACGCCGACCTCCGGGACGTGGTCCGGGGAAGGGCGGGGACCGTCCCCCGCTCGCAAGGGTCCGGGGATCTCTCGGGGGCGATCCGCGGTTCGAGGGTTTCGGACCACGGGTTTCGGAAGCGGCTCCCCCTTTCCTTTTCGCTGCTCTGCCAGCTGGAGGAGGTGGTGGACGTCTCGGTCGGCGCCGAGAAGCGCCTCGAGGCGGGGGATCCGGGGGGAACCAACAACCACAACGGCAGCAACCACAACGGCAGTAACCACAACCGCCGCCACCACGGATCCAGGTTTCCGTCCCATAGGTGCCTCAAGGTCTTGCTCTCCGATGGATTCGACGAAGACGCCGGCCCCGAACCGGCCCGGATCGTCGGCATCGAAACTYYWGCGATCCCCGGCCTCTCGGCCGCCTCCCTGGCGGGGACRAAGRTCCTGCTGAAGGGTCCCCTGGAGGTCCGGCACTCGCTCCTCCTGTTGCACCCGGGAAACTGCGTGGTGCTGGGGGGCTGCGTCCCCCCCATGGCCCGGCGCCAGGCGGAGGCCCTGGGGGAGGCCAGCCGGAGGGGCGGGGTGGGGGTCGATCCGACGATCCGGGCCCTCATCGGGACGGGCACCCTCCTGGAAAGCGAGGAGGACGGGGAGGACGAGGGCAGCCACGAGGCCAGCGGGGACGTGGTCGCTGCCGCTGCCCTTCCACAACCGTTGGGGCCGGTGGAAGCAAGCGCCCCCCGGCCGCTTTTCGCAACGGAAGCGTCGGTTGTTTCGTCTTCGTCGTCCTCCCGCGCACCGCGAGCCACGGGTGTGCCCGCTCGCAACCCGAGCCGCACCGAAGGCTTCGCGGTCGGCACACGGACAGCAAGGGCAGCGGGCCAAGGGACGGCACCGGCTCCGCTTCCGATGCGGAGGCCGGCCACGACCGCGGCATCTCCGCCCGGTGCAAGGATGCGCAATCCGTACAGCAGCCACAGCCACAGCCACAGCCACAGCCACAGCAACAGCAACAGCAACAGCGGCAGCAGGACCAACGGCAACGGCAACACGACCGCTGCCACAAGGAATCCCTACCATCGACCGCAGCAGCAGCAACAACAACAGCAGCAGCAACAGCAGCAACGACAGCAACAACAGCAACGACAGCAACATCAAGAATCGAGGCCGGCGCCTGCATCGAACCACAACCACAACCACAACCGCATCAACACAAACACAAACACCAACAGCAACATCATCAGCAACACCAACAGCAACGAAAGCGACACCGGCCGCCACCGGAACCAATGGCGGGAGATCGGCGCGACCGCCGCGGATTTGGTGCGGGGCGGAACCGAAGGGCACCCTCCGCAACAACAGCAACAGCAACAGGAACAGCAACAGCAGCTGCGGGACGCGCCACCGGCCACCGCCACGGGGAAAGCGACACCGTCTCCCCCGCCGCCCCAGAACAGCGTGACGCCCACGCCGTCCGCGGCGGCCCCCTCGCGATCCGGTCCCAAGAGCCCGGGAAGCACCGCGAGTGCAGGGACGAGCACGAGCACGAGCACGAGCGTCCAGAAGATCACCTTTGCCAACCTCCGCAAGCTCCTCCTCGCCCTCGCGGGCAACCGGGAGATGTACGAATCGTACGCGTGCAGGAACGACAAACCGATCGTCTTTCTGGTCGAGCTCGMRGCGCGGGTCAAGAACCAGGCCGATCTCTACTTCGACGTCGTCCGGGCCAAAAAACGCGGGGACAAGGCCCGGACCAAGGGGAAAAAGTACGAGTACTTTGCGTCGGCCCGGTTCTCGTGCGGGGCCAGGGCCGGGCCCGCAAGAACGCAAGGCAGCRGAGAGGAATCCACCGTCTCGTGCCGGATCCACCCGCGGTGGATCGAGCCCCACTTTGTCGTCCCCGCCCACGAGCTCCGCGCCCTGAACCGGACCAACCGCTCCGAGTCGCTGCGGATCACCAACGAGTGCGGGGAAAAGGTCCGGAGGACCTATTTCTCGCCGCGGAGGTGGAGGGCGACCCTCAACCCGGAGGCCGACGAGGTCTTTGGGGGCAAGGGCGGCGAAGCCCGGACGGCTTTGGAGAAGCTAGCGGACCTGAAGCTGCCCATCTTGGTTCTGGAACCGGGGGACGAAGAAGACAGAGCAAAGAACTAATAGGAATACTAGTACTAATCATAATAGCCGGGGTTGCGTTATTGTAGCGGGCCGCATCGAATCGAATCGAATCGAATCGAATCCAACAACTAAAATCCTTTCGCGATTACAGTAGTGTACTTCGTAGTTAGCTTGGCAGTCGCGGCGCCCCGGTTTCGTTGGCTCCGGACGGGTCCAGAACCCGCTCCCACCAGGACCGGGAACACATCTCGAAGATGCGGCTGGAGGACCGCTCAAAGGCAAACGAGAGCTCTCTCACGCTGGCCAGGGCACCGACCGGGGTTCCTCCCTCCTGGGCGACGTCGATCCCCAGCGGCTCGAGGGGGGCGCCGCGTTCGCTGTCCGTTTCGCCGTGGCTGTCGCCGTCGTGCGGGGTCGGGAGTGGTTGGGCACAAGCCCGAAAGAGGTCGGTCGGGGCCTCGGCGTCGAGCGCGGAGCACACCAGGGCGCACTTTCCCTCGTAGAGCTCGTCGATCAGGGTGATGAACCGCCGCGCCCGGTTGTGCCCCTCCAGGTCCATGGCCGGAAGGTTCTCCAMGACTACGATYTCGAAGGCGTTSGCAATGGCGCGATAATCCATGGCACCGAGGTCCGCGTCGCAGAGCTCTTCGAAGGACAACCGCGCCATTCTCGGCGGAAGCCTTCCCTCGTCGTCTCCGTAGTATGCCTGCCGGATGGTCAGGCTCCGGTTGAAGCCCACCTCCAGTTCGACCGATCGGGGCTSTGTTTTGGCACCACGGCAGCCACCTTTCGAAACGCATTCTGCGGCCAGCTCTTTTACGAGCGCGTCGACTTTTTCTGTGTCGATTCGGCCATCGGTCCCACTGTCTAGCCGGATGAAAAAGGAAGAACAGTTCGAGAGTAGCCTTCGGTAATCCCGTTCCGATGGAATGTGATAGGTGATGCAATGGTGCTCCAACAGATCGATAAAGGGAAGAAAGTACGACCGGTTCAGGCCTCCCTCGTACAAGTCTTTGGGCGGTCGGTTGGAGGTAGCGACGACAACCGTTCCGTGCCTAAACAACACCGAAAAAAGCTGGGACAAGATGACGGCATCCGCAATGTCCGTGACCTGAAACTCGTCGAGACAGAGAAGGGAAAGCCTAGAAGCTATCTTCAGGCCGGCCTTGTGGATCGGGTTGTTGGAAAGGGACGTGTCCACYGAAAAACTCCTGCCGTTTTCCTCTAGGTCCTTTTGTTTCAGCCGGTGGACGGTGGCGTGGATCTGCGAGAGAAAGTCGTGGAAGTGAAACCTCTGCTTCCGCCCCTCGCCCGGGACCCTGGCGTTYTCGTAAAAGGAATCCATGAGCATCGTCTTGCCCGTTCCAACGTTTCCGTACACGTAGAGCCCCCTCGGAATCTTTAGCGCCGGCACCGGCGGACGAGCCCCGGGGTCMGCAACAGTGGGGTCCTCGCTCCGCTCGTCTCCGGTGGAAGCCTTCCCCTTGCGTTCGTCTCGCTTGCGGCCGGGTCCGTCCGCTGGTTCGGGACCCCCGGTCTCCCGGAAGAGCACCGAGTTGTCGTAGTCGACGAGGGCCGCCTGCAGCCGGTCGAGCCTCTTGGCAACCTTCTCCTGGGCCCGATCCGGCCGGAGGGCCTCRGACCGGACCAGTTCCCGCAGCGCCCCCAGCGTGGATCGGCGACGCCGACCGAGCGGGRGACGARCCGGGGACCCGGTGGAAGCCGGAAAAGAGCGGGCGTGCACAAACTCCCTGCCCACGGCCGGGCCGAAGGACAACGGCCGGGAACCGCCGGTTTGGAACGCCGGAACCGAACGCAGAGAAGAATCCCCAAACCGCTGCAGGATGCGGGAACGCACCAGGCTCCCCGCTCTCGATGGGGGACGACAGGCGGTCGCCATGCTTGTGCTATCGATTTGCCTCTGCTAGTTTGGTGGAGACGTTCGGTGATCCATTTCTGCCGTCTTCCCCTCCGTGGTTTCCGTAATTCCGGAGGGAGGTTTTCTGCAGCACTCGAGTCGTTCCGACCGAAATGGAGGGGAGAAATTCTCGGCTTGCGGATTTTGCAAGTTTTGGGAACTTGGGATTTGAAAAAAAAGTGACTCAGTCGGTGCACAATCGATTGGGTACTGCTTTAGATTCTTTTTTCGGCGTGCCGTTTTGAAGTTTCGCCTCGCATCGTCTGCCCTTCATGGCTGCTTCCTACCGTAATTTCGTTTGGGGCAGACGCCCCCCCCCGCCCGTTCTTCGCGCCAAAAGGCGGTCACCGGCACGTTTGTGGTAGGCAGCTGGAGGCCTGCTGTCATTGCCGCCACCACCACTGCTTATGGGAATCCGGATCGTTTTGAAATGGATGGCGAGACGGCGAGGTCGCGCGACGCACTCAAACCAATCTGTTGCCGGGATCTGTCGGGCAGAACGAGTACGAGTTGCTACCATACTCTACGGTACGTTACAAGTACGCACCATCAGCCTGACTGGCGGGAAACCAAGCAGCTACACCACCGATCCCCCCCGTGTAGGGAGGAGGAGGATGGTGGTGATGTTGCACGTGCTTTTGGTACGATCAATCGTACTCGTAACTAGCGTTTTTGGGATTGCCACTGTGTTGCTCCTSTACACGCACTCGTACTCGTAAAAAACTAACACGACGCACTGCTGCTGCCGCCGCCGCTAGTAAACCACCACACGGCGAAGGAGAAAGGGGATACGATACGAGTTGCCCTACGAATCCCATACAGGACGACCAAAGAATTTCTTTCGTTCTGATTGCGTCGCACCTCCTCTGTTCCGATTTGCTTCGCGGGAAGAAATCGATTGGGCTTCCGATTCAAAACGAGACGAAGGATTTTCTCGAGAGCAATCTCAGAAAGAGGCTAGGACACCGACCCCAGCTAGGCACAACTCCATTCTTCACAGCGCCCAGGCAGCGATCATAGGTCGGACGAATAACTCCCGGGACGAGACGAAACGAAACGATAGCAGCAGCAACAGCGACAGYAGCAGCGAGCAACGACGATCGCGACAAGAATGACGCCAGAATTACACGATAGCACCACAATACGGCACCCGTTGTTCACCGGACGGGAAACGCCGGAAAGGGCACAATCTGTTCTCCAGTGTCCGGTCTTGCTCCACCGGAGCAATGGCAATGGCAATGACAAGCAAAGACACAGACACAAACACAGGCGAAGGCACGCAACGATGGTGGTTCTTCTGGGTTTGATCGCTCTCTTGGACCACCGGGGGGTTCTCGCCTTCCAGACGCCCTCGCCCCACCACCACGAGAACCACCACGAGAACCACCACAACGGCAACCGCCGGCCGCGAACGGTAGAAGACAAGTCGACCGGAACGGGCTTCCCGAGGACGTCCACCCCCTCCGACCGGGGAGACCGGAGGAGCAGCATGTTTTCGCCGCAGAAACGCCAGGAGCCCCGGGGGAACGGGCCCAGTGGAGCGGCCGGGGGAAAGAGCCGCCAGAGGGTGGTCCCGAGCATCTGGGACACCTCCGCCCCGGTTCTGGTGGAGGCCTCGGCCCTCCGGACCTTTGGCTTCGAGCGGCCCGACGTCGAGCGGGTCCAGGTCCTCCTCAAGAAGCACGACGCCGTGGATCCCTCCAGCGGCAGGAGGCGGTCCTCGGGAGAGCCCCTCATCGCCCGGGTGGACCTCTGGCACGGGCCGGACTCGACGCCCCAGAACCTCGCCATCTACCTGGAGGAGGAAGCCGACGAGGACGGCGACGACTACGACGAAGACTGGGGCGCAAGCGGGAGCGCGGCCCAGGGCCATTCCCCCCGCGAAAGGAGCAGCAGCAACGGCAACGGCAATGCACACACGTCAAGCGTAGACACCCCCTTTAGCACCATCATCGAGACTCCCCAGGGGCACAACACGATCGCGATCCGCAACATCGCCGAGACCTCGGACCTCCTGGCCTGCGTGGAGGGAGAAGAACGCGACTACGACTACGGACACCAAGAGAGCTGGTTCACGCCCAGCGCACCCCCCGCAAGCGACAGCGGCCACAGCCCCCTGCAGTCGGTCATCCAGCGGCTCAAGGCAACCACCACGCCGCAGCGCATCGACTCTACCATCGCCAATCCCAAGCACACGCAGGGCGAAGGCTACCAGGACTACGATGACTACGACGAAGACGACGAGGCCAACCAGCCGGTCGTCGGTTCCTGCGCGGTGGAGCTCCCCTCCAACATTGCCAGCGTCCAGGTCCTGCTGCAGACGCAGTTCATGCAGCCCCTCCAGGCCCGGATCGAGCTGGAACTCCGGGAGGGAGACAGCGAGAACACCCCCACCGGCGGCTACAGGGTCGTCAAGAGGACCATCGTGGAGGTCTTCAGCGAGGACGGGATGCACCGGCCCTTCTTTGCGGTCCTGGAGGCCCCCCGGAAGGCCGGCTGGTTCGGGAGCGAGAGCGGAGCCGCGCCTCCCTCGCGCTACACCACGAGCATGCGGGTGGTCAACCTCTCCACCACCGAGTTTCCCCTCTTTGCGACGGTCGAGCCGCACGCCGTCGACGACCACGAGCCCCGGCGGCGGCCGGCCCCGTCCGGGGACCAACGCGGAGAGGAAGCGGGGGACGGCCCGGGCGCTTCCCAGCCCGAGTGGACCCACTTTGGGGGCGGGAGCAGCTTCGACGCCGTGTCCAACTCCACGATCCTGGACGCGGAGATCTTGTAGGCCGGCGGTCAAAAAAGAGCGGTCTGGCTGGCTGGCTGGCCTTGTCTAGCAAAACGGGAGGGGACGGACAATCGAAAACGAAACGAAACGAAACGAAACGAAACAGCTAGGAGGAACACCGCCCGTGAACGAAACACGCACCTAACACGAGAAGTATCCATCCAGCGACCAAGTCTTGCAAGGGTGCCGAACCGCCGAGGCCGACCGAGCGAGCGATTGTCTCTCAACACCGGTGCCGCTGTGAGCGGGAACGCCAGGCACCAGACACGACGAGAACGGTGGGAAGCGGGGGCGTGGCGCCATGCATCCGCGACGATCAAGAAGCAAACAACGGGAACAGGGAGCGGCGCAACACCCCGCGAGACAACACGAAACGAAACGAAACGAGACGAAACGAAACAACACGGTGTGAGACCGCAGAACCCACGGTGCAGGGAAACACCAACCACGAAACCAAAAACAGAAAAAGAGCGCACTTACAGTAGAAACAATAGTAGTAGTAGTAGTAGCAGGACAATAGTGTACAGCCCGAACCGAGATTCGACACGAGTTAACAAAGACAAGAACCAAACCCAACTGCTGGGGTAGCTGACCGTATTGTAATACAGTAGTACTACCTAATGAAACGTTTGCTGATTGCCACAGTATTAGTACTTTTTGTATTTTGGGTTGGCACAGACCCCTGTCGAGGGCCGCGGCTCTACGGGTACGGGGAGTACGGTATGATTCTTGGCAACTACCGTAGTTAAATACTTCCGGTACTGTACTAGTTTTTTTGTGACCCGATTGGAGAAAAAGACGTAGGATCCAGTACACATTCAACGAAATTAGGACACGTTTGCCCCCGAAACATGGACCCTTCTACCATACGTACGTACGTACGTACG